CCAGGGCCGGTCCTGAGATTTCGGGGGCCCGGGGCGAAACTAAAACCCAGGGGCCCTTGATTTAAGCATCGAAATAATGTGTTATGGAGAAAATAGACAACAATGCGCGATGCAAAGTCTTGTTTAATGTCATGCTTGAACTTCAACTATGGGAGTACATTATTTTAGATACTGAACCAAAACAACAGAAGCCTCCCCGAATAGTCCACAAGGAATTTGCGTCCAAATTGCATTGTTGGATTCACATTTTTGAGTTCTTGGAATGACTATGGTACGACTATTACTACAAATAGGAGTATCTGAGAAATTAGATAGATGATCGAAATTCATACGAGTGGTGTGGAAAATATTTCTTCGTATCTTCAAAAGTTAAATACCTTCGTATCTTTAAAAAGTAAATATATGGTGCCACGCATGCAAAGTTACTCACATTTAGCGAATTGTGCAAATGATTAAATTAAGAGTTAATTACCCAATTATGACGTCATCTCATTGCTCAATTCAACCAACTGCCATGAGAGAATCCAGATCCTCGTTCTGCGCTTGATCTCTTTGAGATCTACTGCGGGAACATCAATATTACAGAACCAGAACGGTTAATTGTACAAACAGTGAAAGATGTTGACCTGCCGGTAATACTCACCTTTGTAGAGACGACACTCCGGCGCCGGAGATCAGCTCCATAGATCATGTGCGCGCCTGAGATCATGTGCACCGCGCCCCTTGGGATCTGGGTCTCATCTTATACTGCTCTTCTGGTTCACTACGTACGTTTTTTATGGCGGAAAGGCGGCGGCTATTACGTGCGTGATGGCGATTTTTTGGCGATGCATGCGTGGGTTGGCAGTTGATGCGTGAGTTATGGCGATATATCAGACTCTCCATATACGTACGTTTTTTGAAGAACTTCCATCTACGATACGTAGCTGCTTCTACTTGCGATGGGCCAGGCACACTGAACTTTTTTTTACTGCAGTCAAATGGGCCAAATACAAGGAAATACATACTTGGGGGCCCCTCCACCTTGGGGGCCCGGGGCGGCCGCCCCCCCTGCCCCCCCTCAGGGCCGGCCCTGAATATAGTCTAGAGTGGGCACTTCTCAGAAGAAGAAAAAGGGAACACGCTGTGTTGCTCCCCACTCATCCGCTGCTTTGCCACTCGATCCGGCCACCGTCACTTGCCCTCCATCGATTGCCCCTAGCCCCAATGACCGCTGGAATGGACAACTCCACCATCGTTGCACCCTTCGCCACCCTTGTCAACGTTGAAGACCCATCGCCAATCGCAAGTTTGGCACCACAAGGACCAAATCAACAAACGCCAAGTGAAGAGATTGAGAGCTATCGGTCGCCAGAGGTGGTCGTCGGTAGCTCCACCACCACCATCCTACATCCCTTGTCCACCTAGAGTCGCGCAATGACCCTTCCACCTCTAGTGGCCGAAGACGAGACCGGTTCAGACGAGACAAAGAGTGAAGCCGATGTTCCCAAGGATATCCCTGCAAGGAACAAACATACTTCTTATTTTGCAATTGCTCAATTGAATGATGCATGATTTGATATTGATTGCTAGGTGAGCAATGAATGATGATGTAGATGATTTCATTGCTATAGGGTGCTAGTTGGAAATGAGATGTGGGCAAGAAGGAACTTTCAAACACATCGAAGAGGCAAAGGCCCAACACACAAGTTGACGATGACTTGGTAGAGAACCCATCCACTCCTCAACTTCGGACAGATGGAAATAAAAACTCAAAGCTAGCCAAGAAGCATGTTGTTCGAGCATACAATGAGGAGTTAATTGCGATGTTGGAGGTAAATAGGTCATTGGCGGCCAACCGGAAAGAGGAGAAGATGGTTTGTTTCTATGAGATGAAGATGATGGAGGGGGAGAAGATGGACATGGAACAATTATCATGTGGCATGGAAATGTCAATACAAACAACATTGACATGATCCCAACCATCAATATTGAGGCAGTTACATCACATGATCTATGGATCTAACATGCATACTTCGGGATGCTTGGCTCCAAAACATGACCTCAATGTCATGCAATGATCCCATCCTTTTGCAAGGCTATTTGCCGGTGATGCTCGAACTTGTAACTATGTTGTCAATGGCCAACAGTATAACCTGAGGCACTACCTTGTTGATGGTATCTACCCTCCTTGAGCCACATTTGTGAAGACCCAACATCCTCAAGGTAACAAGAAATCTCACTTAGTGTGCCAAGAATCTACTAGGAAGGATGTTGAGAGAGCTTTTGGTGTGCTTAAAAAACGCTTTGCATTTATCCATGGCCATGTTGAGTTTGAAGCCTAAAAGCCTTTGACAGGTCGTGACAACATATGTGATCTTGCACAACATGATCATAGAGGTCGAGAGAGATGACACGGAGAACTTGCGGCGTCTACAATGGTGTCATGGCGGAGCCTGAACGTCATGCAAACATGATCCAAGCATTCCTCCAAGCACATTGAAGGATCAAGAACCTAGAAGCATACAACCAGCTCCATGAAAATCTTATTGAGCACCGTTGGCCACTTCATAGCACTTGATTCTTACGTTTTTATCATGTTTTCTTTTGGATTGTTATTTCATTTGAACCATATGTTGTGTTCGAATTTGAACGATTAAGTCTGGAAAACATTAAATTTGATATGTAGTTCAAGTGTGTGTACTTGAATTCTTAAGTTTCGAATCAAGATGTTGTGATAATATATTTTCATTCAGGTTTGAATTGTACTCTACTTATTTTTTGAGAGCGTGAAAATGGGGCGTCATTGAGCCTAAAGCTGCAGTATTCATTAGAGGTGTGCACTTCTAATGAGATGCATTTCTAGTTTGTAGCTTATATACGAACTGATTTGGAGAACGATTATTGTTGAATGCCCGATTGCCCATTCATTCGTACGGCTTAGCATGATTTCAAGCAAGTCATGAATGGACAATCCATACAACGGTATCTGGCCTGGCGTAGTACACGGAGAGACGCAACAACGGCACGGCACCACCGTCCGTCCGTCACACACGGAGGGGTACGCAACCCATCAGGCCGCCCCTACACTCCAAGGGAAGATTTTGCGCCCCAGAACCATTGGGTTGGATCTTCCCTTGCCGATGATAACCAACCGCTCCGTTCCTTCGCGCCACATATAACCGCTGCTCTCCTGCCGTCCGCACGCTACTCGGTTTCACTTTCACCCCGCAAAGCCAAGCTGGAGAGCGCTGGACGCCCCAGGGTAATGGCTGCCCACAGACCGAGTCACCGGAAGAGCCAGCCGCGGGTTACGCCGTGGGCCGTCGCGCTCGCCCACCACCCCGCGCTGTGTCGCCTAGCCCGGAGCTCATACCGTCCGTCCGTCGCCCCCGACCCCTCTTCCTACCCGGGCCCGCCCCCGCTGCGGCCGCAACCACCACGGGCCCGCCGCGCCCAGTCGAGGCCCCACACGTCGGCGTTCATCACGTGCCTCATCGGCCCTGCTCGCCGGATATATATCTCGCGCCAGCCGTGCCCGCAGTGTCAGTCAGTGACTCAGTGAGTGACGCGACGCGCTTGCCCGTACGCTGCCAGTCCGCCTGAGATATTTCTCTCTCTCTCTCTCTCTCTCTCTCTCTCTCTCTCTCTCTCTGGGGTGAGGGTGAGGGACTGAGGGTAGACCGCGGGTGCCCGTGATGCTGCTGCGGAGCGCGTCCTCGCCGCTGCTCAACGCGGCGCGCGTGCCGGCGGCCGCGGCGGTGGAGCATGTACTGGGCCACGGGCACCTCGCGGTGGCGTCGCCGGCGGGGCATCACGGGCCGAGGCAGCAGGGGGCGCTGTGCCGCGCATTGTCCGAGGCCGATCTGCTGGCGCCGGTGCAGCTCCCGGCCGCCTCCGCCTTCCTCGAGGAGTTGGACGAGGAGGAGGCGCAGCAGGAGGACGAGGACGTGGTCGCGGTCGGGGTGGCGGCCGTGCCGCTGCGCCGGCTGCTGACGAGCACGGGGCTGGACGCCGCGGGGGAGGAACAGGAGGCCGGCGCCGGCGGAGCCCTGGCGCTCCTCGAGGGCGTCGGGGGAGGCGGCGGGCGCGGGAGGGTGTGCGGCGGCTGGCAGGGCGGCCGCGGAGGAGACGGGGACGGCGACGGCGACGGAGGTGACCGCGGCGCCACCGACGCGCACTACCGGCGGATGATCAGGGCCAACCCGGGCAACTCGCTGCCGCTGGGGAACTACGCCAGGTTCCTCAAGGAGGTGCAGGGGGACGCGGCGAGGGCGCAGGAGTACTGCGAGCGCGCCATCGTCGCCAACCCCGGCGACGGCGACGCCCTGGCGATGTACGCGGGCCTCGTCTGGGAGACCAGCCGCGACGCTGAGCGCGCCGACGCTTACTACAGCCGCGCCGTCCAGGCCGCGCCCGACGACTGGTCAGTCAGCCAAACAACTCAGCGCGCCACTTCGCTGCTTCCTTGCTTGGCATGCGTGACAGTTTCTCGCTGTGCTTCTCTTGCAGCTATGTCCTGGGATCCTACGCCGGGTTCCTGTGGGACGCCGAGGAGGAAGACGGTCTCAACGACGGGCAGCCTCCGGCGGGGTCGCCGCCGTTCTATGGGGCAGCGCAGCCATCCTCCATCAGAGCGGCTTCTTAGACGAAGAATCAATCTCACTACCAGTAAACAAACTACATCTGGAACTCTGCAAGGAAGAGCGACATGCCACGATCACAGCGGCCTCTGAGGGAGGCCGCCACCGCCGTCGCCGGCCGGGACGCGGCAGCTTGTAAACTGAATAAACCAAGTCCGGCTACCTGTGTGAGCAGTACGCTTCTAAGGTTGGTAGGATCTGCAGCACTGCAGGATAAATATGTAGCCTAATAAGGTTTTGCTGTGCCTGTACATGTAGAATGTTCCTGATAACATGGTGTACGTGGTGTATGTACCACTTGTGAATTACAGTAAATGCCAGAACCGATTGCCCCAGCAGTTCAGCAGAAGCAGATCCATCTTCCATGTAGGAACAGAACACAAAATTACACTGAATGCACCAAGTTCATAGCAAAATTGGCACAAATTTTGCAGTAAAAGAAGAAAAGGGAAAACTCATGCAGGAAAAAGAAGTCTCGCGGCTTGGAAATACAAGGTAGTCATATGCAAATGTTACTAACTACAAATAACACCACTCCCTTGTACTGTTTGAAAAACAACACAAACTGAGAAGATAAACAGTACATTGGCTGCTTGCCATGCTTCAAACTCCAGGTGATCACACTAATTCAAGCACATGATACCAGCCACAAGTTTACTACCCAAATGACAAAAATGCAGACATGGGAGGCTGAGGCATGACTCTCAGCTTTCCGAAAGACTGGACTCAAGACTGTTTTCTATGCGTTGAGCACATGGTCGTCTGGAGTAACTTGAGCACGGATTGGCGTCCGGATGGGATCTGCAGTTGCAGTTGACTTGCTAATTTCTAGCTGTTCTGCAGAAGATATCGAAGTTGCAATGTCAACAGAACCTGTCTGCTCTGACGGCAATTTGGGGAGAGATTTCCGTTGGGACTTCTTCGGAGCAGGTGCTGCCTTGGGGCTGTTTTGGGAGGCCCTTTGGTCGAGGCTCAGACGAACTGGACGGCTTGAAGGATTGGTACTTACTGCTGTGCCTGCTGAAGTTGTGTTCTTTGAGCGACCAAGCTTTGGTGATCGAGGTCTGGTGGTAGGGACCTACGATGAATAGCAGTGGATAAGTAGTATTCTTCAGAAGCTAGGACACACCAATAAGCATTACATGTTGCGAGTTAAAATTGCTAGTGCAAATCATGGTAGAAACTTGAACCACCTGTCTACCAGGAAAACTAATGGTCCATTTTTTAAATACTGTTAACAGTTAACTCCATAATAATTAGGGATGGTCAACTTGCACAAACTCATCAAAGAGGTAAATCAAATAACTGAGTTTCAGATTTACTCAAATATAGTGGCAAGAGACATGGACCATGTGGTGATGGAGATTTTCATTTTAGTAATTAAACACCCAAAAGAAACTTGCATAATATCTACAAGAAATGGAATCTCCTAAACAGCTGATGAAGTAACCATCACCTACAGTACAACTGCACTAGCTACAGAAAATAATGCTTTCGGCGTGAAAAAATTGGCTGCAAATAGAACGTTCTCCAGAATTCTTGAACGAAGTAGTCATGCATAACCATGTGACAGCTGTATGTGATGTGGGTTGGTCACCCATGTGCTAGGGATAATACATTTTATCTTTTAGTTGGGAATAGTATCATTTAGAGATAAGATAACCCTTAGCTTCAGCCTTCAGCCAATTAGAGATAAGATATTTCCTTGGATATGACATTTCTTTCGATTCGGTTGTTAGGGCCAGCACCTTGGTGCATCTATTTTCATTAAGCAGGAAGTATATATCATGTCCACTTCGTCTAACCCTCTCCCTGATTAGCCATGCAACCCAGCCATGCTCCCGGCTGTCTTTTGTGGCTTTACCATCATGACATGTATACATGAAGCTACCAGCAAGGCAGCACTACTGGAATCACAATTTAGGTGTAGTAAGTGTAGTTTTAGATCTTACTAGAAGAATGCAGAAGCTGTTCTTATGTAATCCAAGTATTGATTAAAAAAACAATTACAGTATTCTTTGGTTATATATGAAGGTATTGTAGCAAGACTTAAGTTTCCACAAGACAACAAAGAAAAGTTTGCATTCAGGAGTTCCCTGCTTTCACAGTTATACAGGTTGCAAATATATTAATAAGGTCTACAAGGCTGGTTGCGACCGATTCAGTTCTTAATTCACTTGACAGAATGGAAGGAGGAAGCTCTCCCTGAGCAGGGGTCAAGACGGTTACCTTCTTCAACTCAATCTTGGGAGCTGGTGGTTCCTTATAAAAGCTGGGCATCGGTGCTGCCTTGAAATTCAAACTTTTCCGTAGCTGCCTGAGTTCAGCTTCTTCCATTTCCTGCACGGTGATAAACAAACAAATAAAGCTAACACTATTACAATGGACCATACAAAAAATCATGGATTTATTTTGAGGAAATGACAAATAAGAATGCGGACCTTTGATTTTGCCTGCATGTTGTTTTTCTCCAATTCCTGTGCATGGATCTTCTCCTCGAGCTTCGAGTAGAACTACTTGATTGCAAAATGGGTAAGCAAAGGCATGAGATTAAAAAAAAAGACAAGTTGTAAAAGTTATGTAAGAACAACTTACCTCCCTTCTCTTTTCAGCTCTCTCATTGCATTTGAATGCAAACCCATATGAAGGGGTGCTGCCAACCTTCTGAGGTTTTACTCTTTCACAATTAGATTCTTCATCATTTTTTACAACACGTTGGTTAGATGCTTTCTGAGTTTTCCTCTTCTCCCTGTATTTGAATGGAGAATATGACTGTAAGAAACTATTTTAATAATGTAAATGCAATAGGTAAGTAGTACAAGGGTTTACGGAAAAAAGTAAGTTTTAAAGTAAAGGAATTAGCTAGACTTGTGCACATGCTAAAGTTGACAATACAGAAAGGAGTTTAACAGTTTAAGGCTTCACAGATGGAGGATGCATTTAGAGGGTGGTTATATCCAAGTGCATTAGGAGAGTAAGTATATAGCTAGACTCATCCAAAGGCTAAAGATGACAGTATCCAATTGAGTATGCAGTGAGTGCTTCAGGTTTTATAGATGCAAAATGTATTGAGACGACACTTCTCAATATGGCAACAAGAATCACTTCTAAAAAATTTGGTAGCACAGCAGCAAACAAAAAGTAACCTAACAAATAGAAGGACACTAAGTATGAATGCAATCCTTTTCGGCTTTCGCATAGTTTTAGTATCAGACCCTTTATGGTATGCAAAAACCATTTTCCTTACTAACTCGTGCTACTACAAAAACTAGCTGTCCCAGCTGTACCATAAATAGAGACTTGTTTTCACTCATATTAATCAGTTTACAAAAAGTGCAGCCTACCATAATTGGGCACAGAGATTGCGGATGTTAAATCCATAAAACAGATACAACTAAGGAGACAATATACACACAAGAACAAACAAACAACGTACTTTGAATCCTCCAGCGACAAGCTCTCCTTAGCAACTGGTCGAGAATTGCTCTTCTCCGCCTTCTGAATCAAAACAGACCAATCAATTCTAGTAAGATCAAAATGCATTAGACATACCCTTGCATCCTCATATTGGACAACAAAGAGTTTTGCATTTCAGCACTATAAAAATGTGTGTGCAATATCCAAGAAGTAATAGGGGAATTGAACTGAAAAATGAACTTACTTTCTTAACATCAGCATCACCATTGCTTGAAGAGCTATCAACTAAATCTGGATCAGAAACTCGTGCAATAGGTGCCTTCGTGGACAAAGAACTCGGAGTGTTTTTCTTAGCTTGACTCTTATCGCCGCTCCGCGGGCTCTGGCGCTGTGATTTGGTAACCTTAGGGGAACGGCTCTGGCTTCCCTAGAACACATGAAAATGGCAGAAAGCACAAAATTATCACCAAACCATCTATGTGAGATCTCAGCAAGGACAATGTACCAACATGGCAGGCTCTCACCTTGGGAACCCTGGCCTGTATGTCCTCCGGTTGCGATTTTATGTCCTCCGATGGCGAGGTGGCTTCCCCACCCACCTCTTCAGGTGGATTGATCACCTCACTCTCGCCAGAAAGCGCCACATCGGCCAACTCTTCGCTGTCTGGACTGTCTTTGGGCAGAAATTTCTGGCTCGCCCCATTGTCAACGCCCAATGCACCCATGGCATCCGCAACCTCGGACACTGCATCCATCTCTCACTACCACCTCAAGCAAGACTCTCGCCTGCTCAGCGGTTTATCAGAAACAACAAAGGGGCGGCGGCTTGCACGAGCTATACCTTCTTAGCTCATCATCCTCAAAACTCGCCGCGGCAAGAGAACAACCCCCGAAATCTGCGGAAAGTATACTGCTATAAGTTGGGTCAATCCACGCCAAATTACTGGGAGGAAACGGGATTGGGTTCAGCCGAGATCGGCCATGGAGAACAAAGATCTGGGAGAAGACCGGAGCCAAAGGAACAGCGGTCAACGAGTACTAGGGCTTTGCTTACCAGCAAGAGGAGCCGTGTCCGGGCGGATCTTCGCTCCCCGCGAGCCCGGCGGAGGAGAGGACGGAGGGGCGATGAAGGAGAGAACCTCCTTCTCTCGGGGTGGCGGACTGGGCGGCGGGTTTCGGCAACTGCGGCGGCGGTGGCGGGGTTGGCGACGAGGGGAGACTGGGGAGGGAGGAGGGCAAGCCGGCTGAAAGCAACGAGGAGAAGGGGTGAATCTGGGATGTGACAGCAGAGGGGAGACCTCCCACCAGCTCAGTTTGAGATGGAGACGCGTCAACACTGTGCGTGCAGTGTGCAGCGTCTACCTCCGTGTTCCACGGCTAGCTTTGGCTCCACACTGGTTGCAAAGAGGAGAGAAAAAGTTGCATTTTTTTTAACACATACAATCGGCACATACACTCACCACTACAGACATATATGCACACCCTATCTTTACGAAGACCTTCGAGTTAGTGAGCCAGAGCAACATCTTAAGATTGACAAAAATCATCAAAAGCGTCTCATAATCGACATGAACATTTTTTCTCACTTAACGAACATCATCGTAAAACCTAAAATAAATCAAAAAAAATGCAAGCATCGGGGACAAGTTTAGAACTTAAACTTGATGGATTAGTTCCGCCCTAAGAAACGCCGCATAGAAAGTTGCATCCGATCTCCTTGCTTGGCTGAATCTGCCATGGGTCTTTTTTTTCAAAGGGTGACTCCAACGCGGTTTGTTATAACGGATAGAAAATGTTTGGTGGCACGTGCAGACCAGTGATAGGGGTGGTAATCATTCAACCAAGATACCAAATGTTTTGTCAAATGTGCACGGTGGCTTCTGTAGCAATGATGACGGTGGTGAGCAATGTTTGAGATGTGGCCTTGGTTGTGGTAGTCGGCTCTTCTTCTCCGGCGTGTCCATGGGAGTGCCTCGACTGTCTGTTGCTGTGAAGTCAAAGCCGCGATGAGGAGGGCCGGCGGTATATGATGACGCGTGATAGGTGGTTCGTTCGGTGGTCCTCCGTGACGCCACCCCTGCCTAGTTTCCTTAGTAGTTCACCGTCAGAGTCGGAGCTGCACTGCCTAGTATGGATCGTGTGGAGTGTTGTGTTGTAGCTTTTGGGGCTGTTGTTTTTTCTTTTTCTTTGATCTGCGAATCCTCCGGTCCTAAGACCTTCACCACCTTGTTGTTTTCCATTGCTTCCTGCTATTATCAATGAGCGCCAGCGATGTTGGATCTTTAAAAAAATAGATAATAAAAACAAATAAAATTCATGTAAGCCGGTGATTGTTAGATTTTGATATATTATTACAATCAAAAGGATGAAATTTAACAAAGTTTCAGTTAAACTGGACAATAAAAAAAACTAAACTACACGAGGTACCGGACGGGGACCTCGTAGAGTGGTAGGCATGGGCTCTGAGGTCCCCGGCACCTCCTTCGTCATTTGCGACATGTTGCCGCTATCGTTTGAGTCATCATAGTAGTCGTCCTTCTAGTGGTGGAAGCCTCGCCACGCGTTGTGGCAACCCTGATCAGTCGTCACTTCACGCTCGCGACGCAACCGCTCGACTTCTATAGCCTGCACGAAGCCTTGGGCACCTCGTCCTAGCGACGACGATCGTCCGCGGTAGTGGACTCCGGCATGTGCCCATGCCTTTCAGCTGGGCCAAGCGCTCGCACTCCTCTAGCCGCACTTTGAAGAGTTGGTCGTTGATGTAGCATCGGTGGCAAGAGGAGGTCTCCACGGTTTTATTGGACCGTTCGATGGCCCAGGTCTCCATGAGCGTGGAGCCCGCGAGGACCCAGTCTGGCGCAATGTTCGACCTCTCGAGCGACGCCCGACGTGTCGCCTTAGAGATTGCAATCACCATGGATGAGGAGGAGTCGATGTTGCCACTGAGGTACTAGGCGAGGCGGTCGTGCGTTAGGCCTTCCACTATGTAGGCCATAATCGGTGCCAAATTTGCTTTTTGACATTTAGCACCGATGCCCTACATTGTCCAGCCCGGTGCCAAGTAAAAAATTCTAGGCATCGATGCTTCTACTTGCTCCGGTGCCAAATTTGATGAGCCAATAAACTAAGCGCATCTTGGTCCTTTCTCATGCGAAGCAACACCCCATGACACTGGTCCTTGGGTAAGTTGGGCAGATATATTACTAATTTATATGCATGCAGGCCCGTGCTGGAGTGGATGCGAAATCTTTCACACTGTGTGACCGGTGCCATAAAAAGTTCAACTGCCATCTGCGTATACGTGGCTGGCTTTTAAGAAATATGGCACCGAGTACATAGTGGAAGGCCTTAGCGGTCTAAAGAGGGCTCCTCCTTTTTTACAGCGACCAGGGAACCGCTAGCTCCCGACTGCCAACGGGGCAGCAACGATGGAGCCAGCTCCTTCCCGTGGCGGGGATGATGTCTCCGGTAGACGCGCGTTGGGGATGGAGACTCCTCCTTGGCGCAGCGTCCGATTTGGATTTTTGTGGTTGGTCGAAAGTGGACGCGAGGGCGGCGCTGGACTCCGGCCAAAGCGCAACCACTCGAGCAACAACTCGATCTTCCGCGCGGCCTTGGGAGGAGGGGTGATTGCTGCTGCTCCTCCTCCTCCGAGGAGAGCACCTCCATCTTGACCATGGGAGCAATCAATGCCAATGGGGCAGGAGACCATGGGCGGCATCACCATGGTCCGGAGCTCCTGTCGAATCCGAAGTAATGCGTGCAGAATCACTTGTTGTCGTGAAACTTGTTCGTCCTGACAGCCGGCTGTGGAGGTGTGTCGAGGAGAATAAAGGAGAGGACCAGCAGCAGTAGGAGTAGGAAATTAGCGGCCAAACAGTCCGGTGGAAAGCTGCCCAGACTGATCGGCCACTAAGGGCATCTCCAACGGCAACCCGCAAATTTCCTCCCGCATCCATTCACGAACAGGAGGGACCAGTCCGCGGACACGGATGCGGGAGGCCGCCATCGAACACTAGCCACATACATTTCAAACTCTTTTTCAAAAACCCAGATGAAATTCATGCAAACTTGGCCAGATTTCATATAAACATGACTAATTTCATATAAACCGGACGAAAATAGTTACATTTTGGACATATTTTAACTAAAAATGTAAAACTATGTGCATGTACAGTTGCGCGGAGCTTCACTCCCACGACACGGATACACTACACTAGTCTACGACCGGTCGCGATGGATCCTTTTGTCTTCCCCATGTCCGGCAGCCGCTAACCGGACTGCCAGGAGCCCCGGAGGCATATTCTTTCCATGTATCTTCCCTACGTCCGGCTACGCCACTCATCGGAGTGGCAAAGAGGGTGCTTCAGCCCGAGGGGAAGGTACTTCTGTGGAGCCCAGATGGGTGTGCCTAGGATGGTCTGAGATAAAGACCGGATAGGTCACTGGTTGTACAAGCCGGTGACGCACCGACGGTGGCCTCCATGGGATATAAGCGGTGGCGGCCTCCAGTGTTCTACTTCTCCTCGATGATGGTGGCGGACGCGGACGTGCGGGCCACCACCTTGTCGACATCTGCGCAGCCAAATTCTTTCTCTGCATGCATGGTGCGGCTACACGTGCGTCGACGACGGATGGTGCGGTCGCAGGCACTAGAGGCGGCGATGCCCGTGCCGTTGTGCTCCCAATCATGTCGGGATGGAGCAACTTTCCACTCCTCTACAAGCTGGCTTCGAGCAGTGAGTTGCTGAACCACATGCCGCCTTAGGGCGGCAATTAGCTTTGACGGGATAGGTGAGGCAGGTGGAGCATCAAGCTGCCTCGCTCATATCCGACGGGCTCGGCGAGCCACCCAGTCGACTTTTATGCCGGAGAACTGCTCTTCCAGCTTGTTGCTACTTCTTAAGCTTGCGTTGGTTTTTCTCTTGAAGAGGAAAGGCTGATGTAGCAAAGTAGAGATAAGTATTTCCCTCGGTTTGAGAACCAAGGTATCAATCCAGTAAGAGACAATGCTCAAGTCACCGAATACCTGAAGAAACAATCAAACAACTTGCACCCAACGCGATAAAGGGGTTGTCAATCCCTTCACAGTTACTTGAAAAAGTGAGATCTAAAAGAGATAGATGAAAGTAAACAAACGGTAAAGTAAATATTTTTGGTATTTTTGGTTTATAGATCGGAAAGTAAAAGATTGCAAAAAGAGTAGATCGAAAACTAATATTGTAGATCAAAAACTTATATGATGGAAGAGCCGGGAGCCATAGGTTTCACTAGAGGCTTCTCTCAAGATAGAAAATAATACGGTGGGTGAACAAATTACCGCCAAGAAATTGATAGAAAAGCGCGAAGTTATGATGATATCTAAGGCAATGATCATGAATATAGGCATCACATCCATGTCAAGTAGACCGAAACGATTCTGCATCTACTACTATTACTCCACACATCGACCGCTATCCATCATGCATCTAGAGTATTAAGTTCATAAAGAACGGAGTAATGCATTAAGTAAGATGACATGATGTAGAGGAGTTAACTCAAGCAATATGATGAAAACTCTATCTTTTTATCCTCGGTGGCAACAATACAATACGTGCCTTGCTACCCCTACTGTCATTAGGAAAGGACACCGCAAGATTGAACCCAAAGCTAAGCACTTCTCCCATTGCAAGAAAACCAATCTAGTTGGCCAAACCAAACCGATAGTTTGAAGAGAATTACAAAGATATAAAATCATGCATAAAATAATTCAGAG